TGAGGGTGTAGAGCTGGTCCAGTGTTCCACGACCAGGACGAAAACCACACTGCTCTTCCTGAATCCGAGGTTCGACTATCCGACGGACCCTAATGTCATAGTCACTGACAGAAATTAAAATGTTTTTTATTACTTTGAACAATATCTTATTAAAATCAATTTGCACAAACTTTTATCTATAAAACAGCTCATCTTTGAAGCAATTAAACTCCTAACTTTTTAATTAAATATAATCCAGTTGTTTATTTTTCACACATTTGATTCATTTATTTGAAAATAGTAACGTCATTATCACCCGCAGACAAAAGGTGAAAATTGGGCAATCCTGTCATTTTTGTGTGTCTGTGTGTAGTTTGTCCCTCTGTTAGCAAAATATATCATGAATCAAGAGGTGAATTACTTGAAATGTTCTCAAAATGATCATTGGGTTCACAAATACAAGTGAGTTTTGGAGTCAACTCAATTCAAGATGGCCACCACAGCTGGTGGTCATTAGCCAACACAAAAAAGGCTCTGACTCAGCAGATTTTTAAATATTGAGCTAAAGATTGGTGTGAATGCAGCATAATCTTTCCCCAGCACTTAGGGCAAGCTACTAGAAAAAGTGTAGCGATACTTTTGGACTTTTTAATTTTCATTATATTTAATTTTCCTTGTAGATTCTTCTTTATTGCTTTTATGGTTTGTTTTATGATTTGTTTCTTCTTCACTTAAAATGAATGTCTAGCTAACATGTTCAAAATAAACCAACCAAACAAACCAGATCTTAGTTTATCAAGTGCAATTATGTAAAATATTTTCAAAATTTGCTAAAAAGACTAAAAATTTACGACTTTTCAAAATAGAGCAGCACGAAAGTATGCATTGCTTCAAAAAGGGCAAAAACTTTAATAATAATCGTTTTGATGTAATATGCAAGTAATAAATAAAAAATATCTGATGTAAGAGCTGAATAAAATTAAATAAAAAATGCAAAATTCAATGAAAACTAAGACAAAAGTCATTTTTTTCTAATTTCTATTTAAAAAAAACATCATAGAAAACACTTTTAAACACACTGCTGTATTTCCCCCAGGTTATAGGGCTCCTTATTATAGGGCTGTTTGTTTTTTTATTTTTCTTAAAATGTGAGTTGATGAAAGAAACAGATTTCATGAGGGTGACCCCAAAAAACCCCTAAGAACGAGAAAGAAAACTGTGAGGCTAATGCTTGAGAAGGTAAACGGATATCATCGCTCTCATCTGCAGGCGACCACACATTTACCCGGTTCCAACTCTAACTCAATTTCTCAAATTTAATTATCTCTTAACAATATTATTCATAATGTTATCACACAGAATGAACTTGTGCTGATAAAGGAATCCAAATATTTTGAAAACAGAAATAACAGGGGATGAATAAAAAAAGTTTAAGAGACAAAATGAACCAAATGTTGCAGCAAAAAAAAAAACATTTATGGAGAAAAAACGCCTTTAAATTTGAGTATTGCTTTTTAAAAATAAGTGGGGGAGGGGGGGAACAGAAGTTAGAAATGGTTTTGAATATAATGAAAAGTTGCAAGAACAAAACAAAAAAAGGTGAAAACAAAACAAAAATATATATTTGTGGCCACATTTTCCACACAACAACCCTGGTTTTACATGTGTTCACAGTCTCAGAGTCGTTGCTGCGGTTCAGAGCAGAAACACAAAGAAGTAGAGGAGAGGCGAAGCGGACTCCGACTGCAGCAACAACACTGCTGCTTTCACTCAGAGCTGCTAACAGAGGGCGTCCAGCCCTTTCAAACAATAATAAATGATCTGTACACCTTATTGGTATTTTACTTTTAAAATTACTTTTATTATTTACCATGTATTGTCACAGCAACTCRTAATTTATGCAAAAGTTAAGGGTTCAGAGACACAGAAGTATTTTGTTTTTCTGTTCAAAGCCCAACATCCAGTATTATTGAGGCAGCAGAGATGACATGAAAATGGGACGTCGAGTGTAAAACAAAATGCTAAAACATGTCACTAACATATTCCTAAAATTTCCACTAACATTTTAATACTAAGCTTACCGCTCTTTTGCTTATATTTACTAAATGTTAAATTTAATGTCTAAATGTGTATTTTGTGTATGTAAACAAAATGACACAAAAAAACAAACATTTTTTAAAAAGTTCATATAATGAACGATAGCATATTACTTATTGTGCTCCAAATATTTATCAGACGCCCCATGTCAACAGGAAAACATACTGTGTCAAAGCACCTGTTAGTGGGGGTGGGCTTATTGATTTGAATCAACATTATTAAGACTGATGCTTTTGTTCACACTTCATTTGTAATTATGACTATTTTTCACTTTATTTGTGGAAAAATAAAGAACTCAAGCGCTCAGTTCAGAGTCTCCAACTTGTTAATCAGAACCTCTCCTCTTCAGTGTGTCCACAGGTAATGTATGGTATTATGTTTGTGTCACAGACATGGTTATGTTTATATTTATGTAACATTGAAGTTCTTTTATCATTCTGCACTATATTGGTTTTTTTTCCCAATACAAATTATGTGTAGTAGAAGGTATTAGGAGAATAATTTTCTATTTTTTARATTATTATATTGTCTGCCTGTTTCCAAAACATTCTTTGTTTGTTAAACACAAACACACTCCTGTGTCCTTCCATGAAGCACCTTCAGAGCGTTTAAAACTTGAAAGTCAGAGCGTTAAATGGCTGTTAAGGTCTCTATCCCTCCCCTGCTGCAGAAAGTCAGCGCTCGAGTGATTTAGAGCTTTGCTACATTAACAGAAATCAGTCATGCTCTGACGGTGGAAACGGCAGGCTTCTCAGCAGATGGAGGCTTGGATGGAACCCAGAAGTGAATTCAGTTTGAAATAAATGTGCTTTGGTAATTCAGTGTTGAACATTTCATTGTGTGTCAGAGCTTAGYTTGATCTGGAAGGAGGTGAAATAGGAGGTAGGCAGCAGGAGWGGCTGGTGATAGGAGTGGAAATGTTGCAGTGGGTGACAAAAGGAGGGAC